AGAAGCAAGACGGCCAAAGACCAACAGAAGGTTTGATCCGGAAAAGGTTATTATGGCGGTGCTCACTCCAACTGGCACGAAGCCGAGCCTTGAAGACAGGACCGTAGTCCATGTATGGGACAATCACGGCCGTTATGGCACCAGAGCAGACAGACTTAGCTGCGGTGTCAGCGAGCTCGTTCTCGTGAATACTGACGTGGCCAGGGATCCAGAAAAACTGGATGGAAATAGAAGACAGCAAAAAGTGGGCCAATCAGTGTTGAATATCGACAAGAACAGGGTGAGAACTAACGTTAAGTGATTCCAGGGCCAGTAGAGAGCTAAGAGAATCAGTGTAAATAGTACAATTACTGTACTGCATAGCTTCTACATGATCCAGGGCAAGAGAAATAACATATAACTCGGCAGTGAACACAGAAACTGTAGAGGGGATCCTGCGAGCAACTACCAAGCCACAGCAAACCATGGCAGAACCTACAGAGTCACCTGATTTCGAACCATCTGTGTAAATGGGAAGAGAGGAATGGTTCGAAAGATGTTCAGCAAAAAGAAGATGGTACTTCCAATCAGGAGTATCTGCCTTCCCCAGATGGCTCAAGGAAAGGTCACAGGATGGATGGTAATAAGCCATGGTGGAATGAGCTGATCATTGGGGACAGCAATGTCATCCAATGCCAGACCCAATTCAGCCAGTAATGCCCGGATATGAAGGCCAAATGGAGGAATAGCAGACCGTCTGTTCTGAAAGAGCATTGCTCACTGAGGAAGAAAAACACAATCCCAGGTGGATGCCATGGTAAGGATCGAAGCTTAGTAGCATATTGTTTGTACACTGAGTTCCACGAACCTTCTCTTCACCTCCGTCATTTGCAACTTTCTCTACCCACTGGACTGGAGAAGTGCAAAAAGCACCGGTGCAGAGCCAAAGCCCCAGATGGTGAATGGGGTCCAGCATCTTCAGGGCCGAGGTCCTGGCGGAACCATAGACCAAAGACCCATAGTCCAGTTTGGATCAAATCAAAGCACGATAGATCCTGAGCATAGAACATCGATCCGCTCCCCAAGAGCTGGAAGAGAGGACACGGAGGATGTTCAGAGCCCTTGCACACTTGACACGCAGCTGCTTGATGTGTGGAATGAAGCTAAGCTTATGGTCAAAGATAAGCCCCAAGAACTTTGCCTCAGGGACCACACGAATGACTATATCTCCGAGACGAAGCTCGGGATCGGGGTGGAGATCCCGTTGGCGGCAAGAATGCATGCAAACGGTTTTAGAAAAAGAGAATTTAAACCCATTTGCAGTGGTCCATGTCAGCAACCAATTGAGGGCAGTCTGAAGCTGCCACTCAATAAACCTCA